TTATATTTTCAGAGCAGAAAATCCGATTTTTCTGCTTATTCAATATTGCATCTAAAAATGTAAGTGACTTGACGTGTGTGTGTGTGTGTGTGTGTGTGTGTGAGAGAGAGAGATGTGTCTGTTACAGTGGCAAGAGTTTAACCCTTTAAGGCCTTGTCTTTTTGGATATATATTTTTTTTATTAAAAAAAATGCATACAACCCATATATTTTAAATGTATTGTTTGCTTTAAATTAAATTAAGATTGTATGTTTGGTAATTGAACCTAAATAAATTTTAAATTAATGTGCTATATTTCAGATCAATATATTTGTTTTCCTTCATTTTAATCAACACTAACTTTATTCTCATCTGAATTATAAAGAATTTATTTCTGTATAAAATAAAAAATCCCGAATAATCCAGACCAACCAGAGCGCACTATTTCTACAACATCATCAGTGCTGAAGCGAAACTACCAGAGCCGTTCGGCAGATAGCAAGCAGATATTTTGTGTCACGTCGTGCACAATAACCCTAAAGGCACCAGGGTGGCGGTGCCACCGGCTTTATATATATATATATATAAATATATATATATATATATATATATATATATATATATATATATATATATATATATATATATATATATATATATATATATATATATAAAAATATAGCTGCGAGCAGCGATGAAGGGCCCAAGCCGGCGGCACCGCCACCCTGGTGCCTTTAGGTAACTAAAGGCACCGGGGTTGCGGTGCCACCGGCTTGGGCCCGTAATCGCTGCTCGCAGCTATATTTCTTCTTATTATTTTTCTGCTACCTTTTGGACACTTTTGGAGGCCTTAACATGCTCAAAAACTCCTGAAACTTTGCACACATGTCAGAACCCGCGGCCATCAGGGCCGGGCTGAAGATGGTACCCGGGCGTGGCAGGGGGGCTCGACAGCGCCCCCTGGAACGGGGTCCGAAAACATGGTCCATAAATCAAACACGCTTGCATGTAATAATATGAAACTCGGTACACATGTAGATCTCCTCGTTTCATATATACTTCACACTCTTACTTTTTACCCCAGCCCAACAGGAAGTCGGCTATTTAGGGTTGTTGGTAAAACACACGCAATGGAATGTGAAATACTCCTCCTAGAGAATTCAAACAAACGGCACGAAACTCGGTCAGCATGAAGTCAAGACATTGAGGATGAAAGTTTGCGAGGGGATTTTTGATATCTCGAACGGTTTGGCCGTGGCGAGGAAACAAAATTATGGCGAGAAACGTGAAACAGGAAGTGTGTTATAACTACTGCATACATTAACTAATCTTGATGAAACTTCAGCAGTGTGTTCGTTGTAAGAGCCCGATCACATGGATGTGACTATTGTGAGTCAAAGTTATAGCGCCACCAACTGGCAGCAGGAAGTGTGTCACTTCCTAAATGCTTTGAAATCACCCTCTTATTTTTACCCGATTTGCTTCAAACTTTATGTGTATAATGTTAACACACGGCAGATGTAGACCTGTGAAAGGATTATTGATATCTTAGATACTGTTGCCGTGGCAACACATCAAACTTTAATATTCTTGTTTGATGCTTTTGAGACTCTTAGCATGCTTGAAATTGCATGAAACTCGACAGACACAGGTATGCATATGGTTCAGATCAAGCCGGACAACTTTCTAATTAACTGTCATTAGCTCAGACCAAGAGGAAGTCAGATATTTTGGTTTGAATGTGTATGTTTCTGAGAATTTTCTCTCCCTCTCCCTCTGACAGAGAGAATGCACCCTGCCATTCGTGTGTGTCTGTGTGGGGAGGGGGGGGAGGGGCTCTTTTAGTTTAAACACAAAATTATACATAGGGCCATACTGCCCTCTTGTGTCCAAAATTATATTTATATATACATTATACATATATTTGGTATGTGACTGAGGACCGAGAGCTTTTAAATACGGGACATTGATAATGGCCACGTGCAGAGCGCTCGAGGGAATTCCTATGGAAGTTCTGCTCGCTCATCGCCGTGGACGCGCACCGTTATGAATGCCCGTGCAGCCGTTAGTTTCATTTTAAAATTAGCGCCTTTTCTGGGGCCGATTGCTTGAATTGTGAGTTCAATAGCCTATTATTCTTCATGGAAACCACAACAACAAAAGAGTATAAAAGTTTGGTGTGAACGCAGCATAATGAACAAGCTGCGATCTCAAGATTGCAATGCTGGAGTGTGTGTGTGTGTGTGTGTGCGTGTGAGAGAGAGGCGCGGGCGAACTGTGTGTGTGTGTGTGTCTGTGTGGGGAGGGGCTCTTCGATTGATAGTTATTGTACAAAATTATACATAGGGCCATACTGCCCTCTTGTGTCCAAAATGATATTTATACATATATTTGGCAAGCATGTGACTGAGGACCGAGAGCTTTTAAATACGGACGTCCACACGGACATTGATAAGGGTTGCGCTTGCAGAGCGCTTGAGGGAATTCCTATGGAAGTAGGAATGAACTAAAAAACGTTCGCTCTGTTCTGCTCGCTCGTCGCCATGGACGCGCACCATTATGAATGCCAGTGCAGCCGCATACTTTTTAGTGTCACTTTAAAATTAGTGCAATAACGGGGCCGATTGCTTGAATTGTGAGTTCAATAGTCAATTATTTTTCACGGAAAACACAACAACAAAAGAGTACAATGATAGATTCGCTTAAATAGGGGCTTTTACATAAAATAGCCTATTCCGTCATCATCTTTTCAGTCAGCTCTTCACTCTCGTGATTAATGAAATTTGACTCCTGTTGCTGATATTTGCTGCAACTTTCGTTCCGCTCACAATTTAGTAAGCAAACACGCTTCAAATGTGTTTTTATTTTATTTTTGTGTATATATATGTGTGTATATATATGTGTGTATATATATATATATATATATATATATATATATATATATATATATATATATATATATATATATATATATAGCTTATGTTTCAAATATGAGTTAATTAACAATCGTTGGAAAGAATGATACTTTTAATATCACTAAACCGTCATTAGGTGTCGCTAGGCGACCGTCTTAATGAGCGAGTCATTGATTCATTCGTTCAAACGATTCGTTCGAACGGCTGAGTCATTCATGAATGAGACAGATTATGGATTGGTCGTTGAATCTTTGAGTCAACCGATTCGTTCAAAATGCTGAATCAGTAATGAGAACGCGTTGCTGTGAGATGCTCGATGGTTCTGCTGTGATCTTTGTTTAACTATTTTCGCTGCTGAAACAGAAAAAAAAGTCAATATTGCATCTAAAATGTAAGTGATTTGACGTGTGTGTGTGTGTGTGTGTGTGTGAGATTGTGTCTGTTACAGTGATTGTTTAACCCTTGTTAAAGTTTAGGCCTTGTCTTTTTGGATATATATCTTTTTATATAAAAAAAAATAGCATACAACCCATGTATTTTAAATGTATTGTTTGCTTTAAATTACATTAAGATTGTATGTTTGGTAATTGAACCTGAATGAATTATAAATGAATGTGCTATATTTCAGATCATATATTTGTTTTCCTTAAAATTTGAACTAACACTAACTTTATTCTCATCTGAATGATAGATTATTTATTTATGTATAAAATAAAAACACATTTGATTTTTCTTTTTTAATCAATGTAGAATGTGTAACTGAAAAAATAAACAGATTAGGGCTCTGATCGAGGACAATAAATGAAAACCAATGCAATATGATGAATGTCCAAAAGATTTTTTTTGCTTTTAAACTATGTGTGTGTGTGTGTGTGTGTGTGTGTGTGTGTGTGTGTGTGTGTGTGTGTGTGTGTGTGTGTGTGTGTGTGTGTGTGTGTGTGTGTGTGTGTGTGTGTGTGTGTGTGTGTGTGTGTGTGTGTGTGTGTGTGTGTGTGTGTGTGTAAGAGATTTCGGTTGGGTGACAGTTGTAGTTTACAGTTTGACAAAAGCACAATGTTGTGTTTTATTGTGATTGTACACAAATATAAGTAAACACTTTGCAGTTTGAATAATGTCCTGTATGAACAAAAGGACGGGGTATGTTTTTATGTCTACATTGTTCAATCACGCCTCACACACACACACACACACACACACACACACACACACACACACACACACACACACACACACACACACACACACACACACACACACACACACACCAACTATTTTTCTAATCAGATCAGGCAAGTAATATTCTGTCTTGGCACACTTCATATAACTTTCAAACTTGTGTACTTATTTCATGTGTGCATTAAGTCCATGAGACCGTAGGGTGTCTCATTTTTCATTTTAGGTTTCAGAAGGTTGCTCACGCATACTTTGTGGTTGATATGTGCCCTCAATGCACACTTTTGCAGAGCCCACACCAATGCAAGCTCTACAGCACACATCTTCTCAAAGGTCAAAGCGGAGTTACGATATTGCCCGTCATGCACAGTAACCCTAAAGGCACCGGGGTGGCGGTGCCACCGGCTTGTTTATATATATATATATATATATATATATATATAAATATAGCTGCGAGCAGCGATGAAGGGCCAAAGCCGGCGGCACCGCCACTCCGGTGCCTTTAGGTAACTAAAGGCACCGGGGTTGCGGTGCCACCGGCTTGGGCCCGTAATCGCTGCTCGCAGCTATATTTATATATATATATATATATATATATATATATATATATTTATTATTATTATCAATTATAATACAAATTTAATTTAAAATTATTGCTTTATTATAAAAAGGAGTTTTAATGGTAATATATTATTACTATTATTAACAAATTTATTTATTTGAATTGTATTGCTTTATTTTAATAATTTACTTAAATTATTAACTGAAATTATTTATTAGAAATTATTACTAAATTATTGATAGTTTCACTCTTAATGATTATTATAGTATTATGTTATTTAAAAGTATTGCTTCATTATAAAAAGGAGTTTTAATGGTAAGATATTATTATTATTATAGATTATTTATAGATCAGGGCATCACTAGACTCACCAGGGATGTCGAAGGGCCTGATCACATGTGTATCGCTTTGAGGGGTCCTTTTCCATCAAACAACTGATGAAGTCTTTTGCTGTACATTAAACATAAACATTAAAAACACACAAATCATACATGCACAGCGGCTTAGAACGATTCAACTATATTGACATTTCAAGGCATCGGAAATTGTCTCATGTAGTGAATCTACAGTATGCCACATTCATCCTGTTGGTGAGATAAAACTGAGACTTTGAGTTTATCAGTGGAAGCACTGACAACACCTTTTGGATTCATTCATTGTTCCCTGATTCATAGCTTGGAAGAATTTCATATAGCTAGAGCCTGTAGCAATTACCGAATTCCAGTTTCCTGTAAAACATTTTTCCACACTTACTGGCAGCATGTGGGGTTACTGAGTGTGTTATAGATTAAACACCTATAAACCAGACCATAAGCATGATGTAGTTCTCTTCTACACGTGTCAGAGTGAATATACCTGAATCCGAAATATCATCCCAGTACGGTGCATCAAACTCATAGTCCGCTTTCAGGATCTGCTCAAAGAGTTTGGAGTCATTCTCGTCATAAAAGGGAGGGTAACCACACAGTCTGTAAGAAAACATGAGTTTATTACATCATTTCCACTTGCAGCATATTCAACATACACATTTAATCCAGTGGATCTCAAACCTTTTTGAAGTCTCCCTTCCCCCATTGTCCACAACGATATTTGAAGCTATATTTTTGCTTTGTCGTTTTGAGGCCCCCTTGGAAGTTTGTTGAGGCCCCCTGGTTGAGAACTACTAATTTAATCAGTATATATTTCTTAGGAATCAAACCCACAACCATACTACTTACATTTCATAAACACAGCTTCATAAAAATGGTCCATATGACTTCAAAACAGTGCAAAAGTCATAAGGACTACTTTTCGATTAATAGCCCTATAGCCCTGAGTAAACTTTTGGGTGAACAATACCTTTATATTATCACTGTACTCCTCTGAAAACACATCAGCGGACACCTTGATTTAACAGTGAACATAACGCTCAATAAATAAGCGTAAATAAACCCCATGGGCCTCTGGAAATCAGAAAAGAAAGACAGCTGATTAAACCTGAGCAATGTAAATCAAATCTCTTTCCCTCCCATCATCAAAGCCATTAAAATACCTTTCCTCATGGGTTACAGAGGCAGTGGGGGAGAAAAGGAAGGTAATTTTCTGCCTGATTTCGACCCCATTAGCTTTGTGTTTTTCTCTCTTAGCTAATCAGACGCTAAGAGAATTAGCTACAGTTTCGGCCGGTTGTCACTGCAATAATCACACCTGAGAGGAGGCCAACCATCCATGAGATCTGACTCAAGCTCTAGCCGAGGAAGAGCTGGCATAGGCCTTTATTTAGTAGCATTTATATTGTTTTATAATTGATTTAATTTGTATAATTTTCAAATAATAAGTCAGTGCTTTTGCCTTCTCTCGCAAAACCTTTGCGTTCCCCTGAGAAACTACAAGTTTGTAGTACCTAACTACCTAACCACTAACTACCTGAGTTTCTTAAGTTAGTAGAATGTCTAAAGTGGACCATCGAAATAAAGTGTTACCCATGTGAATACTTTTGATCAGGACAGCTGTGAGTGGGAGTGATGGGAAGTGCAGTCTGAACGACAGCTTCATCAGTTTGTTGACAGACAGTGTGAGTGTTTGTGTAGCGCAAGAGTCGCCCCAAAGCAGCCGGGATCGAAAGACCAAAACAAAAGAGAATTTACTCAGATGTACATGGAGATCTGTAGCAGACTAAGATACGAGAAGGTGATGCGAAGCTTGTTTTATGTTGGTTTGTCTCCACTCAGACCCAATGATAATACACACACACAGAAGAGCAGATGGCCACAGCTCATGTGAAATGTACAGCTTTTATGACACATTCTCAGTAACCTTATGAACGTTCCCGCAAGAAAACAAACTGAGAGAGAAATATGAGTGATATATTCACAATGATTTTGCACAAACAACCATTCATATTTTTGTATTTACTATGGTGTTAATCAGCACCAAATACTTAATACTTAAAGACTTTACATGTTTACATTTTAATCTGGACTAAAGATATTGATTGAAAAAGTTCTGTTTCCTTATTATTGTTTTGTAACACTTTACAATTGTTAACATTAGTGCATTCATTAGTTAACATGAACCAACAATGAAAATACTTTTAAATCACGTATTAATCTTATAGTTAGTGTTAATTTCAACATTTACTAACACATAATTAAAATCAAAAGTCGTATCTGTTAATATTATATATTTATTGTACCTGAACTAACAACGAACAGTGGTATTTTTTAATAACTAATATTAACAAAGAATAATAAATACTGTATCACAAATTGCTCATTGTTAGTTAATGCATTAACTAATGTTAACTAATGGAAGCTTGCTGTAAAGTGTTACCTATTGTTCTTTTGCACTTAAATCTGTTTGAAATATTTCTTTACTTTTAAACATTTTTGTGTATTGTTCTATTGTATTTAAATATTCTTTTTGTTTTAAGAAAAAAGTTATTGAGCCTGTTAGGAGGACAACACTTTTTGGTAACTTAATTAAACACCTGGATAATACAATATACCGTGATAAAACCGTCACATATATAAATCTCAAACATCAACCATCATCATTCATCATAAAAAAAAAATTACCCAAACAAAAACAAACAATTCTTTTTTTTTTTTTTGCCACCCTGCCCTATATGCAAATACCATTGTATTTGATTATGTGAATCCTTCATAATATATCAGAGCCATGGCATTAGCATCTCATACATCACTGTAACACTGTACCACCACAGTATTTATTGGTAAGATAGAATTTCCATAAAACATCTGCTGAGAAAATGAAAATCTTCCATCAATCAACATCTAAAATATTTGTGAGACACAAACTCTCTTTTTCCTGTTTTAATGACTCAGACTCACTCAAACTGCACCATATAAGGAGTCTGAGTAAAGTGGGGCACAACATCTGCAGCTGATCAGGAGAGATGGGTCACTTACTCTCAACTGTCAAAACTATTTCTTCCGATCTTGTTTTTGTATGAAAGTCTCATTCAAACCTTAGCTGAATGATTCCTAAGCGTATAAATGAAAGGACGAGTGTAGCATTGTGGGTACTCACAGGATGTAGGCAATGACTCCGATAGACCAGCAGTCCACAGCTTTACTGTACGGCTTCTGAGCGAGAACTTCTGGTGCTGAGAAGAGAGAAAGAAACAGATCTGATTGAGACAAACAAATCACACCATTCCTGTCTTATTAGTCAGTCTCGCAACTATATGAAAACTGTCCTGAGAATTCAAGCTCAGGTGTTTAGCAACTTTAAAGGGGACCTATTATGCCCATTTTCACGAGATGTAAAATGAGTCTCTGGTGTCCCCCGAACGTGTTTGTGACGTTTCAGCTCAAAATACCCCACAGATCATATATTATAGCTTGTCAAATTTGGCCCTATTTGGGTGTGAGCAAAACCACACCATTTTTGTCTGTCCCTTTAAATGCAAATGAGCTGCTGCTCCCCGCCCCCTTTCCAGAAGAGGGCGGAGCCTTTACAGCTCGTGCTTCGGATACTCCGGCAACAACAAATCTGGAGATTGTTACGCAGCCAAAATGTCAGCAATTGTCAGTAACGGTGTTCAGCATTACATGTTCAAACCCTGATGGAGAGCCCCAGGAACAAGGTACAACTTTTAGAATGCAACTGGACGTTTCTGAATGTTTTGTGGATAAATGTATAGTTATTGTGGAGTTAAGTTGACACCGTCTTGTTATTCTAAAAATCTTTCAGAAACAACTTTTGTGCAAACCCAGTGTTGAACTGACCCTCGTTTGTGAAGCAGTCCGGTGTAAAAAGATTCGCTAAAAGTGAATTTAGCGAAATAGGTCCCCTAACATGTTTTTGTTTTTCTATTTATAATGAAATAGCAGAAAATAAAGATGTTTACAGCTCTTTATAAGAGAATATAAAGGTATAGTAGACTGTATGTGCAAGCATGTGTTAGACAGCAGACAATCACAGAAATCATGAAGGGCACTCAATTTACTATCAGGAAAAACTACTTTTTGAGCCTGAGAAACACACTCGCATACTCATAATCCTGTTATTCTCCATAGGAGGTTAAGGCTCCTGGGTCCTTCTAAATTTAATCTATTATTCTGCCTCTAGACATTTTCTTCCTCCCTTCAGGAAACAGGCTTTCACTCTCGACACAAAAGCTTTGGTTCTATGGTTTAGGGCTGGACTAGTCTGTTACTTATGAAAGCCGCTTTCTGAAAAGCTCTTGAAATGAAACAGGCACATTTCCATTAGAAATGATAGAAACTCTGTGACCTTTAAACAACAGCTCCAAAAAACACACAGGTAGCAGCGTTGAGGAAGATACTTTTTTAGCTTGCCGGGCTACAAGCGATGCATAATTCATAAAATACTTCAACTAAAGTGAAGCTACTCTTTGGAAAAGGAGCTACATTGAAGCTATTTATCTTTTAGATAATTGTCAGATTATATCATTTAAAAAAAAAAAATCTGAAACAAAGTACAAGGATCTCACTTAGAGTTGTGTTATGTATTAAATCATCACAATATATTTACGGTTATTTTGCTGGCATTATACAGTTGAGTTGAGCAACACTGTGAATTTCACTTTTTATTTGGTCAGTAACTCGACTCAAGTATGACAGTGTTACGATATAAACTTGCGTAGCAACTTCTGTTAGAGATGGCAGGTTTGATTCAATTCAATGAATCAGTTCAACATGTTTCACTGAATCAAAACTCTGATTCAAAATGTCCACTATCTGGCCTTTTTATATACTTTAAAATTGCAGTTCCTAGATGAAGCAGACTTAATATTCTTGGCAAAACTAACTGTTTAGTTTAAATTATTTTAGCAAACTTAGAGTACATAAACAAATCTAATGCCATTGAAAGGATCTCGGCTAGGATGATTACAAAAATCTCAAACACACAATGATAAAATAAACAAAAACAGTGATAAACAGAAATATTTAACCAAGTATTCATTTTGCTGCAAAATAGCACGACTAAAATGAGGTACGGGGACTTTGAATCAGTGACTAATGAATCAGCGAATCTTGTTCTTTTTTTTCATTGAAATAAGCCATCTAAACAAATCTAAAACAAATCTGACCAATTCACTTGTCAGTGATGCTCACTCGGTTGCAAGGCTGTGCAAAACTATTAAGAACAACAGTAAATGAACCACTACTTGTTGGAAAAAATAGTTTGTAATAGTAAAAGTTGACTATTTTGAACAGCTCAGGTACCGTGGTGATAACTATAAAATATCATGGCTACACTCCCCACAACACAAACACATCCATACTGCATTAGGTCATACAGGCTTCTTTTGCAGTTTAATTGAGTATCTGCAAACAAAACCTGCTTGAATTCGTCTCCCTATCAAAACGAAACCGTTCATTCCTGTCTTAGGACTGCAGGAATGGATGTTTTCCAAGACGGGCTATTTTGAGGCTATGATCAATATAATCCCATCATCACATTTGAAGTGTGTGTGTGTGTGTGTGTGTGTGTGTGTGTGTGTGTGTGTGTGTGTGTGTGTGTGTGTGTGTGTGTGTGAGAGAGAGAGAGACAAAACAAAAATAGAGAGAAAGATTAGGAGCTAAAGGATAGAAAATGATGACAGCGGTTGATCCTTAAATTTGATTTGGAGAGCTTGGTGTGAGACTGTTACCATTTAAAGACAAAAAGAGGGCATGCCAGAGACACACACAGAATGCATGCCTGCGAGCTGCTCTCATCCAGGCTGGAGTCTAGTGTTTCCATTGAAGAGAAACCTCACACACAGCAGCGTCTGACCCCAGCCCAGTATGCAACTGGTTGAAGCGGTGTTTTATAGCCACCACAGCGCCGTTTAAACACGGTTACCATGGAAACTTGCACGTAAAGACTGTCTTAAACATGCATGCATGAAGAGAGGCATGTAACTCAACACCGTGAAACCCCTGCAGGATAACTCTGGTGACTTTACTCTGGGCTAGTTATAGACCTACTAGATATATTTCAACCGTATGATGACTCTTGTAATTCAGTGTTGGGTTTAATGCATTACTAAGTAATTCATTACTGTAATTTAATGACCTCGAAAAAGTTAAAATATCTTATATTTTATAATATAAAATATATTAAATCTTTAATGCAAGAGTCTCCCTTTAAATACTTTGGTCAGTTCAAGAATAATGTATGCAATTTGACATTATTCATTCGAAAGAATTAAAAGAGCAGTTTTACGTTTATCCTTGTATTGTTCTACTGGTCAGGGTTGATATGGGCTTTAGAAAGTAATTATTAATAAGTAATGCAATACTTAGAGAGAGTAATTAGTACAGTAATCTAGTTACACTATTGGAAGTGTAATTAGTAGCTAGTAATGAATGACTTTTTTAGAGTAACTTACCCAAACACTGATGTAATTATGCATTGCATTTAATTTAATTATGCAAATATGCATTTATAGTTATTACTACAGTAACTACAAGTAACGTGTAACAAGGACACTGTAAAATAAAGTCATACCCAATTCTTTAACAGCTTTTATTAATGTTTTACAGGTTGGTTCATGTTTATTTCTACATAATTTATTACATTTTTCAACATTACTAAATGGATCAAACATGAAGTCAATTAACAATGAACAATTGTATATAAACTATATAATTTAACCTGATTAATAAATAGTTGTAGTAAAAATAGTTGTTAGTTAGATAATTATATCAATGCTTTAACTAATGTTAAAAAAAATCCTTCTTGTAAAGTGTTACAGATATTTATTTTACATCTGATGTTTTTTGGACATCATTAACCATGGTAATAACATGGTATTCTCTAAGTACCTTGGAGTGCCATGTGAATACCATGGTATATGGATCATTCAGTCCTGTGGTATACTACCACTGCGCCATGGTACCGCTCAGTGTTATTTTACTATACTAATTATAGTATTTATTAATATTTTAAATTAGCCTTTTCTTCAGTTTTCATTTTAGTTATCTTATTATGTGCTTTTGTCATTTGTTTGCCATTATTTTTCCTTCATTTGTTTTCCATTAAGCTTTAATTTATTTTTATTTTAGTTTTAGTAATTTTAGTTTAAACTTATTTTATTTCAGTTATTTTCCAAGGCAACATTTCTAATGTCTAAGTTTTTTCATCTATTATTTATTTTTATTTCAGCTCCTATTTCAATTAACAAATGCTATTTTTAATAGAAGCATTCGTTAATTTTCTAATTCAGTATTTTCCAATATTCAAAGATGTTTGTACCCAGCCTGTGTGTGTTTACTTCACATGCAGCCATGTTGGCTCAAAGTGCTGCGGTCGCTCTAATCGCAGGGGAAAAGCAGGCGACTCTGGGGCACTTCTGTCAGTCTGAGATAAGAGTAAGCTTCAAGTGCAGATACAGGCTGCACACAAATGAACCAACATAAGCAGTCACTTTCCAATAGCTAAAATCTATATACACACATTTGTATGCACATACACATCTACAACCGACAAAACCATTCATGCTTTTTCAAATACATAACCCATAGCGAAGCAAAATCATAAACATCTCCATCTCTCTTTCATAATTAAACTCTTACCCACGTATCCCGGCGTCCCACATGCTGTGGACATGACATCACCCGTCCCCTCCATCTTAGACAGGCCGAAATCACTGATCATGATCTTTGAGCCGTCTTGAGGGTTGAAATAGAGCAGATTCTCAGGCTGAAGACGAAACACACACATTAAAATCAAACACTTCAAACCAGAGCAATATCTGTGAATGTAGGTGTGATTCTTTCACCTTGAGATCTCTGTGTACGATGCCCATACTATGGAGGTAGTTTACAGCATCTAGTACTTGTCTGATGAGCGTACTGGCGTCTTTCTCAGTGTAGAAACCTTTCTCCACGATCCGGTCGAACAACTCGCCTCCAGACACACTGGAAAGAGAGAGAGAATGAGAGAGAGACCAGAGATAGACCACTAAAAACAAAAATACCATATATATATATATATTAGTAGAGTACAGTACAACTGCAGGAATGTAGGGGGTGCTGCATGTCGACTCAGATAAGAGTGAACTGAAGAACTGATCTGAGTTCAGAGGAAAATGACTTTATCTCATTCCTGTGAGTTCAAAGACCAAGACGTCAGACAAAGAAGCCTCGGCAAAGAACTCAAAGACGTTTGCCCTCTTGATCTTATACGCCTGCATTAGCCAGTCATTCTTATGTAAATTCAAAATATGCTACGTATAATTAGGCAAATTTAACCTCAAAGCAGGAGACATTAATGTAGACGTGCATTAGTGCAGATCTGGCTTTTCAGAGCACACTGATGCTTTTTGAAAGTTTTAGGTTGAGCAGGGGTTGTTTCAAACTATTAAGACTATAGCGCCCCCTTCTGGAAGGAGATATATTACCATGCACGCACTTTCTCCACCTCTTTCTTTCCACCCTTAGGGTGCTTAGCAGGAGGTCGACTCCCTGTAGTTTATAGTCTTTGGTGGCTGGCTTAAAAAACTGTCTTGGAACTGATAGTCTTCTGAGGCACTGTGCAACTAACAAAAAAAAAAAAATGATATAGGGGGAGAGTGGGGTAAGATGAGCCAATGGGTAAGTTGACCCACCCCCTTTATCTTGGCAACCATACACTTTTATTGTCACGTGACCATCATTTCTGCCAGACTGTGAAAAGGAGAACACACATGGAAGGAGTGGAAGGCACCCATTTACTTTAAAAACTGCTTTTGGCTTGTCTACTTAAAATTTTAACATAACAGATGTAATGGCTGTTACATCAGAGCAAACTTGTCCCGGTCTAAAAATATTTATGGTCCATATTGGTGATTTAGCAATGTATAAAACTGGATTGGCAAGCTAGCTAGTTTTGTCCAAAACACTCGTTTTGTGGTTAACACTCCGCCAAGCCTTATTGACTCCTTGAGCAAGTTATGATTATATGGATCTTTGCAGGGAAGGAAACTGTAGAGACCTTTTGGCCTAACTGAACACTCCTGCTCTACGTTCTTGTGATGCACCATCTCCATTGTAATCAATGGATTTACAACACTCTCTGACGCAGTGTGCAGATGCCCTTAGTCCGTCCCTTTCTCTCTGCCATCATCTAGTCCTCATTTCTCTCTTTCCACTGTCGTAAAATTGTGCCATACAGTGTAGAGTCTGAGGGTCCAACATGCATGAAGAAAACAGTCCATATCTGATCTTTAATCACACTTGCACACACACTTACATGCAGAGTGAATTATGGAAAGATTTTCTAAACTGCATCTGTGAGATCATACAAAAAGCAGATTGGTACTGTTTAAATATTCATCTCAACACCATATGCCAAAACGTTCTTCATGTTTCTCTCTCTCACACACACACACACACACACACTTGGCGCAACCTATTAACAGGGAAAAGAGGGGCAGGCTCCCGGCCAACTATCAAATTAAAACTGTGGAATTCAAATTCTAATGCGGTTTCCAGGGGGTGAAATGAGGACGGAAAATAAATGTTTGTCTCCTCTAATCCTCCTAACTTCCCTCTCCTCTCCACATCATCAGCATTCAAAGTTTATGCTTCGTAATCTCTCATCAAAATGTAATAAACGTCCTCTATCCCTAAACCGAAATTCCTTTTCGACTGATGTCAGCAACCTCTCGCCTCCTACCACCTGTCATAGAGACCACTTTACACCATCAAGTCAATTCCCGACCGATAAAGTAGATCATGCACTCTCGTTTCTTATCTACACATGTGGATCTAAATATAGACGCAAGCATTCAAACAGTTTTCGGATACATAATCCATAGGGAAGCAACATCATAAATGACATCTCTGTTAAAGATTATTTCGGGTTCAATAAAAGTTAAGCTCAATTGACAGCACTTGTGGCTTAACGTTGTTAACCACAAACAATAATTTGGACTCCCTATTTTTTTTTTTTTTTTTTTTTTTATCTGTTTTACAGTGAGGTGAATCTATAAACGTTTAAATTGTCACTTTTTCAATAGTAAAGTCACAAGATGTAACCAATATCCATGTTAAACGAGTTAACATGTTAATTGCTTATTAACTTTTTCAGTGTAAAGTTACATACTTTTTTACTTTTGCCATGACAACGTAACACCATAAAACGAACATAAAAATCATGATTTAAATAATTTTACAGCTCAAATATTACACAAGAATTAATATAAGTGCTATTTATAAAATGATACGCTTCACTTTTTTAAAAAGAAATTGGAATATATTTTTGTAGTAATCAACACATACGGTTGATTGAGCTTCCCAGAATATTCCTCTAATATTGCAATTATTTTTGATTAATAAATGTAATTTATTCCTGTGATGGCAAAGCTAAATCCTTCTAGAAATCATTATAAATAATTTGAATCTGACTTCTGACCTATATAAATGCAGTCCATTTACCATTTGTATTGTAAAAAGCGCTATATAAATAAATGTGACTTGACTAATATGCTGATTTGCTCAAGAAATATTTAATATTAGCAATGTTGAAAACAATGCTCAAAATGTTATTTGAAATCGAAATCACTTTTGATCAATTTAAAGCATCCTTGCTGAATAAAAGTATTCATTTCTTTCTTAATAACCCCAAACTTGAATGGTAGAGTGTGTCACATTTTAATTGCAAAATTGGTTGTGAAAGCCATTTCACCACTAAACATAGGCCACACAGCAACAGAATACGGTTCTCAGTTCTGTATTTGAGTCCTTAATTACGTAACGTTCACACACAGTTCAGTTATTTACAGGAGCGATAACGGCATTGTATAACCGAACTCACAACTGCATTCTTGAAAAACCTGCTTTGTGTGAACAGAACCAGACCGGACAACTAGTTGTCTGTCACTCATACAGTGTGAGAGCCGCTCTGCGCTGCACAAACGCGTGTCGACCGTGTGTTGCGGGTTTAGCATAACAGATGGAGATATGAGCTGTGTGTTATCTGAAGGTTTTAGATCCAGTCACTGTTCTCTACCAGACCTGCTGCCATCCGTTTTGTGTTCTACACACACATCTAGTGCTCCACTCTCGGTTAATGAAGATTTGGCTGATTTGGCAGCTCAATTGGACTCTTGTCATATCAAAAGTGATTTGACTTTACAGTTTTATGGACGTTGCCATCTTTGATATTACTTAGGTCACTGGTAAGAGAATACAGGCTTGACTCCCGTTGCACATTCATACAGAGGAGCTACTATAAGCTCTTTTTGAAGAAGAGATTTCGAGACTCACCCCTGTAAGTAAATGTGGCTGTCAATCCTCAAAACTAAGGCCCTGTTGTTTACAGCTGTTATTAAAATGCGTTTTGGTCGATCGGACCACAAGTGGGCGACGCTAAATACAGGTGTAAACGGAGTCTAAAACGTTTTGAGCTTGTCCACTTTCGACTACTTCCAGAGGTAGTGGAAAACACATTCGACCGGATTGCTTTCGTAGTGTAAACACTCATGTGGTCAAATGTGTTCAAACAGCCACAAAAGACCACCTACTCTTGGCATACTGTCCTAAAGTGTAAAGATTATGGGAAGCGCACTAGCGAGATTTTTATCGGCTAAAGACCCAAGTTTGGTTTGAAGATGAAAAACGTACCAAACACAATGTTCTCTAACCATTCCTGATTTCTAACACACACTCACAGCGTTCGATGTCGTCTTGCAGAAATGCAAAGCTGATGCTCTCCATATGCTTTTCCATCATCTCCGGGCGTGTTTATTTGTAAATTGCATGAGCTTATTTTGTCCATTAGATAGAAAGATCTGAAAAAGCCTATACATTTACCCAACCATAGACCCTCCCCTCAAAGAAATCAGGACAGAAGTGGTTGAAAGTGGACAAAAAACACCAGGTGTAAACCTGTGAGAGAGGCCTGGTTTTCTTTTTAAATGGATGCAAGACAAGCAACACACTCCCTTTGCATTAAGGTGCGTGTGATTGCAGAGCTGGAACGACTTGGACATTCTGCTACCCATCATCAGCGTTACGCAACGCTTCTACGTCAGCATCCACAGTCCTCAGCCAACTCACCAGACTGCCACCCTCTCTCCTTCTCTCTCGCCAGATCTACATTCTTCATCGTCCAGTTCACCATGATCTGGGTCGTGGCCCACAACGCCATGACATTTCTTTTCTTATCGCTATACAGATTCATGCATTCATGAGCTATAGCTTTAAACTGAAGTGAGCTGAAGTGAAGGACAGTACAGAAGTCACTCTAATACTTGTGTAAGAGGTCAAACTGTCTCCTGCTGTTTAATCAAAGAGGAAAAACTAAAAATACACCATTTTAGAGTGCAGAAATGTATGAGGATTACATGCAGAACATGATTTCACCAAGTGCAACATGTTCCTGGATCAACATTCAGTCAACCAATCAGATTTGAGGGACAAGTTTAGAGTTTGTCAAGTTTAAGCTGTTATGGAATTTTCTTCTATTATTACTCTGATTTCAGTGATTCCTAATGATGGCCTCATCTGTTCTCACGAATGTAGTGAGAGGGGGCCTTTGGGTGATAATTTACTGTGGTTGGGAGTCAGTGGAGGTAAGGAAAAGCAGGTGGTCAAGGGGTCATCTTGAGTGCGTTTGTACGTTATAGCCTAAAGGGTTAAGGGGGCATTTACCTCTCAGGGCCAGGGAGAAATAGGAAAAAACAAAGTATATCTCTCCTGTGAGGGGAGGGCAGAAATAAGGCCTTGGAGGACGCAAGATATAAAAAAGACAGACACTGCTTCTCCTTATCTCTCCTCACTGACTCACGAATGTGTATTGGTGACGAAGATCTCTCTTGCAAGAGAATAAATATTTTATAAACTATTAAATTGGACTCAGAGTGTCTCTTACTCAGTGATGATGTTTGTTGGACAGGAAAAAGCCACAACAAAGCTTACAAACAGGGTTAGTTGCTTCTACATCAGTGTTATTCACAGTCTATCATTTCCCTCTGATTTTAGGGATAACATAGTCCTAACCATGTCACTACCCCTGATACCTAACCCTACCCATCAGGGGTAGTGACATGGTTAGGACTACATTTTTGGACAGGAATGTAGTTCCACAGTATGTTGACCCAGGAGCGCATCTAACTCGGCAAAATCAGGACGTACAGGTTACATAAAGATGAGCATCCGAGCTGTTAAAAGTGTTTTGAATGTCTTCTGCTTATATTCTTGCACTTTTATTTCTCTTATAAATGTCTGTCAAGGTTTCTAGATTTGTAATTTAGTTTTACCTGATCACTTTGCGCCCTCTCTCTGACCCTTAGAATCAAACGGGCTGTTTTTGCTACTGTACTTTTAAGACTTCAATATGTAAATGACCTCTGTTATAATAGCTAACCTCTGCGCATGTGAAATGAGTTAACAACGCCCCCACTCGCTTGCTGAATACTGATTAGGAGATGATGATGTGGGTGGTAATATGTTAAAGTCATGGTTCACTCAATCCTCAATTCTGAAATGACTGAAAATCATGGACCACATATGTCATATTTGATTTGTGATCTACAGCGGAGTTGAAGATTATCCGTGAATAATGACTATTCTTGCAAGATGTTCATGGTGATATCACAACTGTTTTTGCAGGCGGAGGAAGCTTTTCTTTGTTACACTGAACTAATTTATTTCAAAAGAGTCCCTGACAAGATACCCACACATTCTTTTTATCAAAGAATCCAAAAATGTAACAAAAATATTAATCAGCACAACATAAAAAAGCTTACCAACCCAGGGTCGACGCCAAGGGGGGCATTCGCAGACCATGCCCCCCCAAACGAGTTACTGAACCCCCCCCATACCTCCCTATCGTCCCAGCTGAACCGAGCGAAAGTGAAAGCGCAGAGCGAGCACGCATTCGAAAGCAATTACAAATTCGTGCAACCGGATAGGTTGCTTTCCACTACAAATGCAAAGCTGAACCAACGTTAGCTCCCCCCCCATCACCCCATCACCCCATCACCCCATACATACATATAAGTGGATATTTGGGTATTTGCTTGTTAAAATGTGCATGGAATTAACAGAAAGACATGAGCAAAATGCATTGTGGGTAATTGTGTATGCGTCGAACATACTCACAGCTGCATTATAAGGTAAAGGTGATTGGAGCTTTCATAGATGTCTTCCAGTGCCACTATGTTTTCATGCTTGATTCTGCAAAACAAAACACATGAAGCTCATTGAAATGCACAATTTGACAATTTAACATGATTAAACTATTACTAAGTAATGCAATAGAATGTTGAGTTAAAGGTGCTCTACGGAACTTTTAGCGGCATCTAGTGGTGATGTTTCAGATTGCAACAAGAGCGCTCGCGCTCGTGCTCGTGTGCGATCTCAGGAGCGAGCATTCACTACAGGCCACACGGAGACTTTCAACGCAACGGCGAAAGCATCACACAACATGCAACGTTACAATAATAGGCTTTTATCAGCTTGACGTTGCTCCATGCTCGTACCATGATAACGTGACATTGACTGCATTTAGCCGACATGTGATGTTATCTAGCATAGCCTACGGCATTTCACTAACTATTCGTGTATCTTTCACAATCAGCAATGTCAACATAGGTGAATGTATAATAATGATAACGAAAATGGTTAGTGAACTAGACTGAACAATGTCAGTGTAACAGTAAGACAGTAGGAAGTAACATTACTGTACTGAACGTGTCTGGAAATGTTTATTATAAACAATATGATAGTTGGATGAATTACGTTATAGCGTAACGATCTATAACGTAGATCTAGTACATAAAACAAGTATCTTAAAGCACCTTTTCTTATCCTGGAACAGTCTTTTGTATTCATTCCATGTCTCATGTAGTTTACCTTGCTATTTCATTAGAGTTTACTAATAATTCAAAAGCTCTGTCTATGTTGATCCGTGTTTTCGTCCTGAGTCGATCAGAATCACGTTTGGCCTGACGAGCTTCAGCAGATAAAACTTTTTGTTTTTTATATTTATGTGGAGTTAGTGTTGGAGTGTGTGTTGTGCTGGAGGCAGGTCGTTTTTGGGTGTTATCAGACTCATGTCGTCAGCTGCAGTGCCGTCGGTCGCATAGACTGTATATAAGGAGAGATGCTCAGGAGCGCGCATGCACGTCACATCCGATGGATTTCGCGGTAAATCCGACCCGGAGACTTCACATATAAATATGACTATTGGCCTTCAGAGGTAATAGCAAAACCCGACAAGTGGATCATTGTAATGTGTGATTACAACCCCTTCACACACAGGCAATAAAAAAAGGATTCATTTTAGAAGAAAAGTTCCATATAGCACCTTTAATATGTGAGACAGAAATTCCACTGATAATTCTCAACATTTTTTACATCTGATTGGAAATCCAACATTAAAATCTACAAAAATTCTAAAACTTTATTATCTCTTTTTTATGTTTATACGTTATGCTTTATCATGTCATAGCTTTATAAAGTATTACCATTGTGACTATATATATATATAATGAAGGCATGCTCAGCTGCAAGAGAGACAATCTGTATTGAATTATAACTTTTTTTTTTTATTGCAATTTGAAAAACATAAAAACATGCATTTAGGGATAATTTGTGTGTGTGTGTGTGTGTGTGTGTGTGTGTGTCTTTGTGTCTTTGCAATCTGGCTTGCTTTGCTTCAGGGTTTGTTTAGGAAGTGAATTTAAGAGAGTGGAACATTCCGGATCTGCTCATAAGCATATGAATACTTCAGTGGCGTGCATTTCCATAAGCCCATAAAATGTACAATAAACACCGCAATGTTTTATGCCATGAAGTTGCATACACTAGTGTGTATCCTTTTGTCACTGAAATTAACATTCAGTACACACATATTTTACATGCATTTCAGTTTAAGGTAAATACAATATATAAATCAAATTAAAATATTTGATGTACAGTATATTTTCATATGCCAAAACAAAAGATGAAATGGCTTCTAAAGTTCATGAAGCATTTAGATGCACAGCTAGAGTAATTGTTGTCCTTTAATGGATGCTGTTAGGGTGCCTGCTTTAAAAGCAGCTTTTCATCTCTGTCACATCAACTAGCAATATTTTTTGTTTTGCTTTTCTTCTCCTCTCCTTCCTCTCTCCATCCCTGCAGTTAACATCTCTCTCTCTCCTCTCGTCATGGTAACGCAGTCACGGCGGCGGTGTGTATACACATTAGCGTTGCATTTTAAGTGAATTCTGATCAGCGAGTCCAACTGGCACATGATAACAGGACGGGCAATGACGCAAGTGAGCGGACAATAACAAGATGCACACGCGCACACACACGCAGATAATGGACATCAGCGAGTGCAGATAAAACATTTGCCCCCCCCCCCCCCCCCCTTAGTTTCCTATAATTAACTCTCTTTGTTCATCCATATGTTCAGAAAGGGTAAGGGTATTGATCCTCATAAGGGGCAATCGTCTCAGAAACGGCCCTTTCACTGCAGCTCGCTGCTATCTGAGCCCAGATAAATCAGAAAAAGTTTTCAGTTCAGAGGAAAGAGAATAAAAGACTGCAGTATTATGCCTCAGGCGTTTGTTTTTGTCAGAAATGCTCCTCACCATGTAGTTTAATATATTAAAGAGTTACTGAGGTATGGACAAATCTCAATCTGAAAGAGAGTGATTCATTGAGATGCTGGTTCCGTATTGACTCACGATTCAATGAACTGGGAGTCACCTCTGATGCAGCATATTAATACGTTAGCTCTGGAAAAAAATGAATAAACAATGAACGACATGCCTCGGTTTTTCTTCTTAAACAAAACCTGGAGGTCGATTCGCCCTTTGACATATTGATTTTTCAAAACTGATTATGGAAAACTCGTCTGGCAGAGGATTACAAAGCCATTCACAGGTTTAATATCCCTCTTTCATGTATTCGCTTCTTCCCTCTGTCTGTTTCTCTCTCTCTCTCTCTCTTCTTCAGCAGTGAGTGGGCAGAAGCTGTAGCACGACTCATTCGCTGCCTCTGAAACCATCTTCTCTTTTGATTCAAGAAGAAGCAGCACTCAGGAATAGGGTGAAAGCAGAACGAGGAACAAAAAACAATCTCTATTTCATTATTTGACAAAAAACGCTCGGAGTGCCGATAAAAAGAAATAATTTAGCAATAAAAAGGTAGAATAACTAGCTATTTACCTCTGAAAGCAGAGTCTCGCTCACTTTTATGCAAATGTTTGGATTACCTGCTACCAGGTGCTTTTAAGTAATAGCCGATTCACATTATCTGATGTGGAGTGAGTCTCTTATTAAAGAAAAATCACAGAAGAGATGTCTTTAATATCTCAATTGCTACTCCCAGACAGCATTGAGATTCACTGGAGAGCAAATGGAAATCTTACGCTTCTCAGATTTTTTACTGTAAAAAAAAAGAAGTTGTTTCAGCTTAAAAAAATAAGTGTTCATGTGAGGTTGTACTAAGTGACAACTGGGATATTTGAGTTGACTAAACTACTTCAGTGCGTCAAAAGCACTCCAAAGGTCAGTTAATTACAATTAATATAAATTTAAACTATAATGCATTCTATAAGACATACACTTAAGAATATTCTTTTAAAGTATTAAAAGTATGCTCAAGTGTACTCCCACTGGTCCACATAACTGTATATCAAACTTTAAATATTGCTTGATTGACAGTTCGCTTTCAGTGGGGACCAAAACATTTATCACTGGAAACTTTGCGAACTCAATTATGTCTTGCAAGCTATGAAAGAGCAGCCTTTGAGCAATACAATTTTCCCTCTGGGTTAGCAAGTCCCATGTCAGGATGAATTGAATTGACTTGAGTATTTAAACATTGCATTAGTCAGGCAAGGCAGCATGCTGGGAGTGTACGTTTGCGATTCTCTGCGGGGATTGTGAAGATTAAACTATAACCTGTGAGGGCATCACATTATCTCATTTGTAGATGCGAAGGAAATATCTTCTGATCTTTCTCTATATCGTTCTGTCATACATATGCAGGCAGACAAACAGACAATAAACATGCTCTCGTTCGCTAGTGCGTGCGTGTGCTCGCTCGATCTAATTACAGGCCTGTGGCATCACCCATGAGATGGCAGACAAGCTGTCAATCATTTAGTAGCTATGATATGAGATGAGGGAGACCGAGACGTGAAGGACAAAGCTGTGTGTCCAATCTCCAGGGTACGATCGCTGCTACAACAGAAGCCCATGTCAGAATCAGAGGCGGCCTTTTCTGATGAGTCTCGAGGGAAACACCCGTCACACATCCATATGTCAGACACACCAAACACACCTGCTTCCATTAGCACCGAGAGTGAGGAAATACCTGCGAAACAACATGTTAAGCTGAGAGGCTGTCTTGTTGTGCTTTCTCTCAGACAGAGTGTGCACATTCACACAAACCTTTGTGAGTGATACAATTAAGAAATAATGAGAGTATTAATCGTTAATACACCTAACACTCAAAGCAAAGCTGTATTTTCAGCATCACTACTTCAGTCTTCAGTGTCACATGATCCTTCAGAAATCATTCTAATAAGCTGATTTGATGCACAAGAAACATTATTACCAATGTTGAAAACAACAGTCAAGACCGTTTATAACGTTCAAAAGAACAGCATTTATTTCAAATAAAAATCTTTTGTAACACTATAAATGTCTTTACTGTCACTTTTGATCAATTTAAAGCACCGTTGATAAAAACAACTTCTACTAAATACAATCGTACTGAGCCCAAACATTTGAATGGTAGTGTTTGATTGAACTGCCACAACTTTACATCAAATTTGTTGAAATTTTTACATTATAAATTAGATGTATTCCATGAATAATATCTGGATAGCACTCATTCATTTACTACTGTATATTTTAAAACTAAAGGGGATCTTATTTCCATTCCAAGCACAGTCAAAGAATCTGTCTACACTCGGACACGGTCCGCACGCGCGCCGTTTCATGGAGAGAGAGAGAACATCTGCGGGAGCTTCCCTGCTGTAATTGGACGAGGGCACTGGAGTTACCACGGTAACTGGAGGTCAAACCTCAGACAAACAAGCTCCTATCAACTGGCAAACAGGGAATGAGTGTGGAAGAGAGAGGTGATGCTGTTGCCATGGGTACAGGTGTGGTGCGGGAAATGGAACTTACTTGCGTAGAACAGCAATCTCATTCTCGATGCTGTTCTCCTTCCCCTTAAGCGCTTTTTTAGGGATGCACTTCACAGCGAACATCTTTCCTGTGGACCTCTCCTCCGCCAGGACCACCTCTGAGAACGCACCCCTTTAAAAGAGAGAGACGGCTTTATTTATGATTGCAGAGGTGGGAAATATAGACGGGGTTACTTGTTTTCTACAGTAGTAGAACAGAAGTAATTAATACAGTCAAAAAAAATTTACATCAGGGTTGTTTTTAAAAAATGTAGAAAAATGTTTAAAAAAAACAATATATATATAATATTCTGGTCTGCGACTTCTGAACCCCAATGTTTTCATAGTGAAACTGTGTTTTTTTGCTTTAAGTCTAACATATTTAATGTTTAATGTGTATCAGTGTGCATTTGTGTACATGAAATATGTTTGGAAAAAGTTTGGAATTAAGTTTTTTTTATATTTTCACAAAAATCTATATTGTGAAGTAATATTGTGAATCTATATTGTGAAGTAATATTGTGAAATGTTAATACAATTAAAAATAAATGCTTTTGTGTGTGTGTGTGTGTGTGTAGAGGGGTGGCCTGAGTTTTTAGAATACCCATTTGCTGATGAGGTCCCTGAGAATCTCCATCTCATTTGCCATCTGCCTCCACAGTAAAAGCTTTTAAAAATACTGTGCGAAGAATTAGGGAATATTTGCTTAGGCAATCGCACATGTTGCTATGCTGCTGCATACACGAATTACACCTGACTCGACACGTGGCCACAGATGCTTCCTGTTACCAAGTCACACACGTAAAACACTTTTTAGCTTTTTCTGTGTAGGTAAAGCCCATCTTTCTGTTTGTGATATCTTCTATTTTTGCGGTTCTTGGGTTAATCTCACAAAGTTTGTCAAGAACATGTCCGGGTCTTATTTCATCCCAAAATTTAAAATGATAGATAGATAGATAGATAGATAGATAGATAGATAGATAGATAGATAGATAGATAGATAGATAGATAGATAGATAGATAGATAGATAGATAGATAGATAGATAGATAGACAAGTGATATATAGATAGATAGACGATAGATAGATAGATAGATAGATAGATAGATAGATAGATAGATAGATAGATAGATAGATAGATAGATAGATAGATAGATAGATAGATAGATAGATAGATAGATAGATAGATAGATAGATAGATAGATAGATAGATAGATAGATAGACAAGTGATAGATAGATAGATAGACAAGTGATTGATAGATAGATAGATAGATAGATAGATAGATAGATAGATAGATAGATAGATAGATAGATAGATAGATAGATAGATAGATAGATAGATAGATAGATAGATAGATAGATAGATAGACAGATAGATAGAAAGACAAGTGATAGATAGATATAGACAAGTGATAGATAGATAGACAAGTGATAGATAGATAGACAAGTGATAGATAGATAGACAAGTGATATATAGATAGACAAGTGATAGATAGATAGACAAGTGATAGATAGATAGACAAGTGATAGATAGATAGACAAGTGATAGATAGATAGACAAGTGATAGATAGATAGATAGATAGATAGATAGATAGATAGATAGATAGATAGATAGATAGATAGATAGATAGATAGATAGATAGATAGATAGATAGATAGATAGATAGATAGATAGATAGATAGATCGTTTCCTTCCTTGTGTGTGTTTGAAGAAAGAATATTCACAGACAGGATTAAAATATACAGAAATGTGTATAGAAATAGCCAAGTCTTCGCCACCACCATCCACAACATACACACACCCTGCAGACTTAATTTTTCCCTGATTAAGTCATATTTTCTCAGCTCTGTTCAATGCAACATGAACATGAATCATAAGATGAATACAGGCTGGATTGGTAACAAGCATGCAACACCGGAGCCAAAATGAATTCCTCTAAGCTCCCCGGCAACAGACACCACTGTGCTGCCAGTCACACAGCAAGGAAAGAGGTAGAACAAGGCAAAAGAGAGCAATTAACAGAGACAAAAAATGATAAGGACACCATGCTGTAGAATTATACTGTTAATTAAATAAATGGGTGAACATTTGGCAACACAATGCAAAGGTGTTCTGGGTGGTTGCTAGGGTGTTGGTAGGCTGTTCCAGGTGGTTGCTAGGCAGTTAAAAATCTTTAGTCTTTATGATATTCTTGTCTCTACATATGGTTCTGGTCAGGCCTAGTTTGATTCTTGCCAATAGTGGTCAATATTTTGTGATTACCAGCATCAAGTTAAGTGAATTTAGATTAAATATTGGATAAAATACGTTCATTTAAATTCAGCATTTGCATGTGTAACGGAGGCAAGCTAGTAAGTGCTGTGATTGTAAAACTCACTCTTCTAGTCTCGAGAGGTGCGCTAGCGACTGACGTTAGAGACTGCTCTCTTTAGCATCCTTGTTAGCGTGCCCACCTTCCATGCCGGAGATACCGTTGCGAATCCTGCTCGGAGTGTGTCGATTAGGACCGGTTACATTTGGTGCCGTGACCCGGATGGGAGTGAGGTTTGGGGTGTGTGTGTAACGGATACTATGGAAGTCAACTGCATTATAATGTCTATCACACACCTTGTTCTCTAAATATTGGCATCAACCACCAATTATGAGTGTACTCAAACTCCTAACGCAATAGTAATTGTGATGCAGTGCCTATGCAAAGCAACATTAATGAAACGGTCATGAAAATGACACATCTCATCTTTAATGAAAATGGAAAGAGAGATGGAGACAGGAAGCCCGGGAGGAAGGGAGGGGTGCGACGACAGGGAGCACGGCACGTAGCAGGAGACAAAATCATGATGAATGAACACTGAAGAGAAAATGTGAATGAAGCCGCCAACACGCATTGCCACTGCAGCAACACACACACACCCACACATGCACTCCATAAATGGCATTAATTTCAGGCCACAGGTGAGAGAGTGACGTGTGGTAGATTTATATGATATGTGAGAGCCTCTACCTGTCAGATGTAATCAAGCGTGTGTTTTTTAGTGTGTGTGCGCATGGCAGGCATGTTGCGACAGACTCGCGGAATCGTAATCAAACTAGATCCAGCTAAACCGGCAAGACCACAAGCAAACACACACACATATAAAACACCGGGCATATCATTTCTGTTTCCACAAGTGCAGCTGGAGATTGGAGCCCCAGCTGTGCTTGTGATGTAACATCTATGTGAGGGAGAGGGCAGCAAACAACCAAGAAGAAAAATGAGTTCCAGGGAGAGATCGTGTTTGTAAATGTGCTTCAATTTGTGCTTCCAAAGCGAGGGCAGCGGCCCGCGAGGCATCGCTGAGTTTTTTCCCCCTTGTGCCGAATGACTGGAATTTTGTCAGCAAGGCTCCGCTGCCTCTGTGATTTGCGTGAAAATAATGCATTGGAGTTTCCTAATGCTATTTGTGGGTGTGTGTGTGTGTGTGCGTGTGTGTGTGTGTGTGTGTGTGTGTGTGTGTGTGTGTGTGTGTGTGTGTGTGTCTGAGCTAGACCACTGCTGAGAAAACTATATGTCAATATGCATCGACAAGTGCTCATACGGGAGGGAACAGAGCAGCGGTGATTGTCAGTCAATGACTCATGTGCACACAAACACACACACAACCTCACTGGAGGGGCTTCTGTGCCGCTGCGTTCTCTAGGGAACTCTTCACAAATTATATACATAGCATCCACTTATTACTGTCTAAACTGGAGAGAGAAATAGGCAGACAATGAGAGCTGGTTTAAAGAGGACAGGATTTGAGTTACGATTAACATGGCCTCAATGAATGTTAATCACACAATGCATCTGAAAAAAATAATGAAATCATGTTTAAACACCAAGCTTAAGAGAAAAGCTCAGACGAGAGGCGTATAATGGAAAAAGGGAACCATCTGTATTGGCTTTCACTGAAATTATATCAGCCCTCCTCAGACAACGTGGTCCTCCTCCAAATCTCTACAGTCAAAAGTTTGGTATCAGTAAGACGTTTTAGGGAGAAATTAATTTCTATTTCAAATAAATGCTGTTCTTTTGAACTATGTTTATCAAAGAATGTTGTGTTTTGTGTCATCGGGTGGACTTTTGGTGACAAATAAACAGGAATTTCTCTGTCCAAGTAACACTGAGACAGTATACTACATTACGTATACTACTGACATTTTAACAATACAAAAGCGGGTTGGAAAATGGGCGAACTTACACTTTAATTGAGTATTTTAAACATTTATTCAAAATTGAAATCTTTTCTAATCTTTGATCACAAATGCTTCCCCAAAGTATTCAACGTGTAAATGTGCTAACAAGTGCCATTTCGAGTACTATAATTGCTACATGCAGTTAAATCTGGATTTAAGATATAGGTGAATAATACTGTGCTCCTTTCTGAAACATTTCCTTTTCAGCACTTTCCCTGTCACTCATTAACCTGATGTCAATAAATGTTGCAGTTCATCATGAATTTGGTTATTCATGCATGCATCTTGGACACTTCCCTTTATCTGACCCTTCACTCCAAATCCGCTTTGTTACAGCAGTCTAAAGGAGGGTACATGGCGAGACTGATGATGTAATCAACTAGCAACTACTCAAGTGAGCATAAAAAGCCTTAACAATGAGAATCGGAGGGTATAAAAACAGTCCTCATTCTCTAAGGACTGCATTATTTTGCAAATTCAAAACCGCTTTGCAAATCACTATTGGAGACACAATGGCTCGTTTCAATTATTTTCTGCAATTATTTTTAAGTATTTGTAAGCGTTTTTTCCCAAACGGATGGGCATTCTTTTTGATGTTGAAGAAACTCTCCCTCTGCCAAAGGAAATTAAAGCAAGAGCAGAAATCCAGTGCGATTGATTGCCTACGTCTCAATCTCTTGTCAGAGCTGTCCGATTTCCTATTAAAACACAGGTGCAAACACACAACTTTGCATTAAGGAGAGGTTGTTTGTGCTCAGCATCCTTTAAATGTTTTATTGCCTCTTCGATACACAGGCACCATAGAACCAACAGCTACACATCGCCCTGAAAATACTCACAAATGTGACTACAGTAAGCGTCTCTCTCTCCCCGAGCGTGTGTATGTGTGGGTGTGCGTCAAACTATAAGCCCAAGG